TCGAAACTTTTAATAAAGAGGCAATAAAACGGTTTTTTTCATATAATGTTTAGCTAATTTTATTGTTCGATACATTAATAGCAAGAGGTAGTGTAAATTTCATGAAATATTTTATTTGAATAGATATTTCCAGCAGCTTTCTTAGGTATATTTTTAGAGATTTATCGAGAATTTTCTATAAAATTTCGCTTTTTGTTATATCATCGGATGGGGAAGTGGTTAGGTCAAAGACAAGCAACTATTTAACGGTGAAAGTAAGAACAACATTCAGATCAACGTAACAGCTGAGAGTCTGTGATAAATCCTCTAAACTATATTTATCACAATAAATCCTGATAGTCTCTCCTTATCATATACAAAATGTCTTTTGTCATAATTTTTTTGAAAATGTCAGGCTTAGATTTAAAAAATCATTCTTTTTTTACCTGTTTTTTAAAGATAACCTACGATAAGAAGTACTCCTTATGTAGAACACTATTTGCTCTAATGAGTCATCTATTGTAAAGAAAATGTCATAGTACAACAAACGCATTAGAGTTGGTAAAAAGAAGTGATTCAATAATTTTGAAAGAATAAAAAATGGCATTCTGTGATTGTATTGTCAATAAAAACTAAATAGATCAATTGATTGACATGAAACTTTTTTACTAATATATCAAAGACTATATATTGCAATCTGAAGAAAATAAATTCGAATAATCTAACTTTTAAGATATACACAAAATATAATAAAATTAACTATTATTTAGATAATATTCACAGTCACTTTATGTTGACATATATACGGAAAGACAAAATTCTTTATTCTCGTTCTTCTTCTCTTTCGTATGATCAACCTAAGACAGTCGTAATGTTATCAATACAGTCTTCATCTGATAAAAACACTTTTGTACCATCATTGACAACGATGAATATTTTTTTTTTTTCTTAATGTTCTTGAATGTTGTTCTATGTGTGTACTTCCTGATTTATTTCATATTTACATTTTTTCTAAAAATGTAAAGAAATTTGACCTCTGTATTGCATGTAGTTACTAATCAATATGAGTATGATTCTATTAATATAAAAAAGAATGTGCCTGCAGGCATACGATGCATGTACAAAAAGGACGAATCGAACGAAAAAGAAAACACTACAGCGTCATTTCACAATGCGTCATTTCTAAGTCAATGGGAAGTGAAAACTTAAGAAAAAAAAGATGAAAAAATGACACTGATAAATTTTCGAGTATTATAAATCATCTTGAACATCAGAAACATGACTTTTTTTTTTGCTAAGTTACTAAAATGTTACTAATAACAAAACAGTCATTGTACTAAAAAAAGAAATTTTTTATAAAGAAAATTTGTAAAAATTTGATTGTTTGAAATTTCCAACGGGGAACTGACAAATATTAGCCTTGAGATTTCTAAGAAAAAAAAATGAATAAAACTTTCATAATATTTATTCTATGAGCCAGGACAAGGTGCATCTACATTTCTTTTTCTTTTTCTTTTTAAGCGTTCTCCAAGTAACAGAAAAAAAAATAATTATTTTTTCTTTTCTGAATGAGAGTCGACCGTCTTCAACCTTATTTATTTGCTCATTGCAGCTTTTTGGAGACATAAACGAAAAAATAGTCGAGAAAGTAAAAACAAGCCTGATATCAAACATTATATTTTTTTCACATAGATACGATATGTCAAAACGAAAACAATCAAACACTTATTTGCCAACGCGTGTAAGTAAAACTGATGATAATTTAATTTATTTATTTTCTATTTCATCAAATATTATCCAGGCTCCAACATTGATTGACGATTTATGGACAAGTCATAATTTTTTAGAACCAAATGAATATTCATCAGCTACAATTGGTATATACAGTTGTTTAGTACGCTCTTATGAAAATGAACATTTTGGAAAATTTTTTTGTCAGAGAGTTAACAAGGATGCTCAAACAAAGTAATAGCAACATATATTTTTCAAAAGAACAATGGTATTTTTTTTTCTATTCATTAAATTTTTTCACTAGGGATTTTATAGCTCAGCTTGATGATGATGAAAAAACTCTAACTAACAAAACTCAAGTAGATATTGAACGATGTATAATGATTGCTCGACTACGTGAATATTTAGAAAAGGTTAATTTATTTAATCAATGTTCATATGTTATATTTATATATATTTATAGAATAATGATGTATTTCAAAATATTTTAAATCAAATTAAAAAACATCTTCATGAAGGTATGTGTGAAAATTCATCAATGCCTGTTCCACAATCAGTATGAAATTCATATTAATAAAATATAATTTATTCAATAAATAAAATTCTTCAGGAAAATGACTTTATATGTCAATCTAATCAAATAAATAAAAGTGCTCATGTACTCGATAAAATCTATCGTATGAGACGTTTTCAATACTATAATGATGATAATATTCGACAATCAATAAATATTATTAATCTACAAAATTGGTATATCATAAGAAAGAATTTAATTTTTTTATATTTATTATTTAATGATTTCATATAGGATAAGATCTCATTTCCAAACATTTAATAATATTAATCCACAAATATCTATTGGTTCACAAATAAACAAGTATTTAGAAACTTTACTTAACAAGTATGTAGACATTCATCATATAACTATCAAGATATCTTTTTTTATTCTTATTCTAGTTCATTTTTTATTATTCAACATCCAACACCATCAATTGTAACTCATAGTCCATTAAAACGACAACTTGTTACTGCAAAAATTTATTGTCGACTTGTATCTTTACTTGACAAAGAAAATTCTGCAATAACCATTGATGATATAAGTATAAATATTAAAAATATTAATTTAAATAATACTAAAGAGATATTTATTGATTTTTGCTTTTAGCGCCTTATGTTTGTCGTATAACAACATCAAATCCTATTGAAGAACCTCCAACAATTTTTGAACAATTACCAATGACTTGGAAGCCTTATGCAATTGTTACAGCTTCACAAAATCGAAAAAATTTTTATTTTGCCGATTTATCAGAAATTATTCTTCGACAAACACCGATCGTATCAGAAAATCAAAATCCAACAAAAGGAGGACAAACACATTATTCACCACATGTCTATTATATTCAATTTCAAATTAATGTTACGGTATGAATATATCGTTTACTTTTCTTTCAAAAAATATTTTAGAGAATTTAAAATATTGTTTTTATTTTATTTTATTTCTTTTTCTATAGGTACAATTCACTAATGGATTAACACCTTATCAACATTGTGTTATTGTAAAATCAGCTCCATTCGGACTTGTAACAAATACATCACAAACAGCAGATCTTTTTGCTAAAGTATTTATACAAGATTTTAAAAGTTGGAAATCACTATCAACACAAATACAACCAATAGTAGCATCATCAGATAATAGTACTTCTTTACCTTCAACAACAGAATTAAATATGGATGATGTAGTAAATAGTATTCAAAGATATTTTATACATAAGACTGGTATTTATCCAAAAGATTGGGTTATGCCATATATTGATAAAATATTAAGAGCTACTTGTCGTAAGTATTAAAATTTATTTATTATATGATATAAAACAGATATTTCAATAGTATATCGTTATATTTAGATAATCAAAATACTTTTGTAGAAACTAGTGCTCATGTAAATATTATATTATTTTTATTTTTTCTTATTCTAATGATTAATAATTAATTTTTATTTTTTTTTTACATAGGATCTTCTAGTTAAAATTCTTGCTCAAATTGATTATATGGCTGAACATCCAATTTTAAGTCTATTTCATGATGATGGGTAAATTTAATTAATTCTAATTCTTTATATTTTATTTATATACATTTATTTAATAGTTTATTCTTAGGTATATGTGATAGTGATGAAGTAAATCAAATTTTACTTCAAGAACGTGAACATTATAAAACTTCAATTTGTGCAATTCGATTTGGTGCATTGAGTCGTTTAATAAATATCAAAGATATTGGTATACGTATTGATCTGTTGGAAGGTATGTATTCTATTTGATAGTTTATAAATGATAATGTAATTTATTATAGATTCATCTACTAATGTGCAACATTATACATTTGATTCAACTAAATTACCATTTGCATTGGGTGTATTTATAATTAAAATACTATTAAATGAAGCTACACAATATAGCACTATCTTAACTATTCTTAATAGAAATACTCAAAATGTCGTAGCAATTACTAGTAAACTCCTCGAACTTTATGATAGTAAGATAAAAAAAAATTTGTTATAACTTATTCTAATTAATATAATATATATATAGGTGAAAAATTACGAGAATTTTGTCCACATAAAGAACGATATCCTTCAATATGGCATTGTGCTCACAGGTAAAAACTTTTAGTGTTTATCTTAACGAGATTAATATATGATACAAGATACATTCATGTTTATTCATAAATTATTGTCCTACTCACGTTGATTATAGAATCCTTTTGGATTGAATTGACTAACATATTCTTTCCATTTGTTACGGTCTGTCGAGACCATAGAAGAGTGAATTGAAATTTCTTTCAATATACTTAAATGCTTGTATTCAATATTTTGAAGTCGTTACGACTCAAAACACATAGGCAGTCTAATGACATGAACTGTGATGTATGAGTGCAAAATTTTAGCTATTCACTTTAACATTCATTTCTAATCGTGTTTTATAAAAACAACAATTATTTACTATGTAAAACTTTTTATATTTATTGAATAGTCAAGAAAACAATAAACAAAACGATCCAGATTCACCAGTAGCACCTGGTTATTCACCAGTATGATATTTAGATTAAAGAAGTACATAAGTATATATATTTTATTCTTTTTTTTTTTAATTCTAGAATCCCACGACCATCACTACTACAAGTGCCAATGGAGATAATCGTATGCTATCACTTATAATCCTTCTATTTCAAAATATTCTTTTATTTTAGTCCCTGATGATTCGTTCTATTGTGGTACATCTACACCTGAACAAACATCATATTCTGAATACCAATCAACTTCTTTTTTGACGCCATATTACCCTCAATCTCAAATGCCTTCTACTTCTGTGCAGTTACCCTATGAATCTTATTCGAATGTACCGCAATATGACGCAACTTCTCAAACTAATCGTAACACTTTTTTCTCTATTTCATAAGCTATTTAAAAAAAAGAATCATTGATATGTTCTTTTTTTAGAAACATCTACTTATCAATCTCCTATAGTTATTGTTGTAACAAATCCTATAATGTCAGACCAAGATATTTTACAATTGATTTCGAATAGATTACCAGAATATGGTCAATTAATTCAATCATCTTTGATTCATCGTATCAATGTAGATCAAACATTTAATGCACCAACACCAATATCGCAAACAATATCATCCAATTTACAGTCATTGTCACCACGTCTTGAAGATTTAATAAGTGATCCGAATAATTTTGATTTCAAGGAATAGATAAATCTGCAAATCATTGTGCACAATAAATGGAAATTTTTCAATATTACTCTTTTTTCTTTATTTCGGATATATCTGTCTGAGTTTTATTTACATCATTTTTTTTTTCTTTTTTTATAGATAAAATTTTCTATTTCTAATGCCTAAATCAAAAGCAAAAGTCAAACGAAGTGCATCAAATTGTAAATATTTTTTTTCATTATAAAAAAAACCTTGTTTTTTTATTTTTTTTTTAAATTCTTTTTCTTTTTTTTATGCAAAGCACCACCATTAGAATCATCATCATTACCAGTAAATGATTAAATTTCTTAAAATAAAAATAAAATCAAATAAATAAATTTTAGAATATCATTAATGGTCTTTTTGAATGTTATAATTTTCTATTACCAAATGAATATTCAAATAAAACATTGGGTTTACTTGCATTTCTTTTACGAAAATCAGTTGGAGAAATAAATTTTTCTGATATTATGAATGAAGTTGAAAAACGTTATCAACAAGGGTAAAAACACAAAAGAAAAGAAAAAAATGAAATAGATATTTTTAAAAAAAGTTTTCTCATATTTATTTTATTATATTCTATCTTTTAAAGACAATCAATCGATTATATCACATTATTAGATGATAAACGTAAGAATTTACTTGAAATTGAAGCATCAATTGAAAAATGTTTAATGATTAATCGATTAATTTCATATATACAAGAGGTAAGAAAAAAAAAAAAAACTTATTTAGCAAATTGATTTTATTAAATATTTTTGTTTTATTATTAAGAATGAATCTCAATTTATTTCACTTATATCTGATATTCGACAAGATATGAGAATGAAATTAATTGATAATCAAATAAATCAAAATATTGAATATCCAAAAGTAAATATTTAATTTATTTTCATATGTATTTATTTATTAAATATAGGATTTTCGTCAACGAGAACAAGATATTCTTAAACGAAGACATACTCAAGAAATACGACGTCTTTTTTATTTTCATCCTGAAGACAAAAAACAATCTCCAAGTTTAATTCATTTAATCAATAGGCATGTATTGTGTATAGTTTAATAATAAGTTCAATAAAAGAAAAGAAAAAAAAAACGATTTTGCTTAATATTAACTTATAAGATTGTCATAGATCATTGATTTGATTCGATGGAATTTCTATACAATATTGTTGATTTTCTGCAATTGTGGAGATTCTTTCGGAATTTTTGACATTAATAATTGTTTTTGAGTTATACCGGAACGTTGACAATAACTCACAGTAGATAGAATCGTACTCAATTTATTAGATTTTAATAAATATGATATCGAATTACATAACTTAGATCTTTACATACGCACCTCTGTTTTTTTTGTTTTGACCATATTGCATTATCGTTCGAGATATATGGAAGTGAGATGTGGTTAAAGAGGAGACTCACACTCTAACATATCCATGAATAATTAATTTTGCCGTAATTATTTGAGAATTTTATTAATTGTAGAGATTTGACATTTTCGAAATGCTGATTATTTATTCTGAGATAAATTATTATAATATAATTTTATTGTTTAGAACAACGAAACATTTAAATTATTTAATTGATAACAAGATGAGATATGAACCACAGTTTGGAGACACTGGTATAAAAGAATTAGAAAGAATATTTCAAACGTAAAAATATTATTCTATGAAAAATAATTTTGTATGATATCAATATTTAGTTCATTTATGATTACTGCTCACCCGCATTCAGGTGTAAATCCAGTACTAATCTATGAACGTAAAGGATCTGGTCAATGTACAGCTAAAGTATCAGTTATTATTATTTCATTATTATATGATTTTATGCAAACACATCCAAAATTAATTGAACTTTATGATATTGGTAAAACGATAATTTTAAATTGATAGATTTTTCATCTTATATATATTTCTATATAGAACCAATTTTATGTTCATCATCATCTCTTTATAAACTTGAATCTTCAACAATATCATGGAAAACTTGTCGATTACAAATAAGTCCAAATGATAAACCTCAATTCATACAATATGCTGAATTATCTTTACTTAATATTCAATGTTCAACTAAAACAAATACACGTATTCATTTAGGTGATGAATTATATTCACTTAAATTTCTTATTAAATTTCGTGTAAGTTTAAACGATATATAAAATAAATAATTTATGATTTTAATTTTATATAATATAGTTAAATCTAAATGAATATAAATTTTCAAAATGTTATCAAATTCCATTAGAATCATTAACATTTGCTATTAGTTCTCATAATAGTCATATTCCACATATGTTATCAAGAATTATTCTTAATGATATTCGACGATTTTCACAGGTTTCAAAAAAAAAAAGATTTTTTTTTCTTAAGAGAGTAATTTGTGTTATTTCATTTCATTTTTTCTTGTCTAGCGTTCATCAGTTGATGTTCAACAATTATCAAATTTTATATTACGTTATTTTTGTCATCGAATAGGTGTTTTACCTGATCAAAATCTTAAGATTTATCTTCAAAAAGAATTAAACAGAGCAAAAAGTAATTAAAATCTTATTTTTCTTGTAATTTAAATTAATTTTTATTTTTTAGATGAAAGAAAAAATTTTCAAACAATGGAAGATATTTTTATGGTATGTATTAAAGACAAAAAAAGAAACGACACGTATTAATAAAAACACATCATTTTTCTATTATAAAATAGAATTATAAAGTTTCTTTTTATTTTTCTACACTTCTTGTGCTTCACATGACAAATAACGTCTTTCTTTATTATAAAAAAAAAAATTCTTTTTTTGACATCAAAAGAAATTTTCTTACCTTAACTGTAGGCAAAAAAAAAACTAACATTATCATTCTATTCGACAAATCTTACCTAGAGATAAAATTCTTTTGAATTGAGTCACATAATGGAATTCATGACGCACATAAATTTAAAATCTTTATATATTATAGAAGAGATTTATTTAAAGAATCTAGCACGATCTACAACAAAAGGGAAAAGGCAAAATTCAAGAGAATTCTGAATTCCACTCTTTTCTCTGTATCTCAATCCAAACTCATGCTTTCATCCTAATAGTCAGTGGCGTAGTCACAAATTTTTGAGTCATGGGCAATTCATCAGCTGAACTATTTTGAGTTACGGGCAGCTAAGGACAACCGTTATGATTTCAAAAATATCTATGGGCAATAACTATTCAAGTACTGCATAGCTCAATAAATCCGTGCGCAATAAATTTTAGAGCTATGGGCAATTGCCCAATGGCCCTACACCTGGCTACGCCACTGCTAATAGTTGTAATTCATTTGTGTTATTCAGTGGAATCAATACCAATAGATCTGCCTTTTTTTCGGGATCCGGACAGTTGCGCGCGGACACTTGCTCGCTAGGACAGTTGCTCGCTATAGGACCCTATGTAACTGTTATAGCGAGCAAGTGTCCGCGCGCAACTGTCCGGCGAGCAACTGTCCTAAACAATTTTTTTCAGTTATACTAATAATTACATTCAAAGAACTATTGTAATTTCGTCATGAATTATTTTTAAGAATATCATCTTAAAGAACACAATATTTTGAATAAAATAACTGCTAACTGCATTTCCCGACAACCTTCCCTTATCAAGTTATAAACGTTACAATCGCATCATTGTTAGAAAAATGCATTTTTCTTTTTTGCTATGCTTATAAATATTTAATGGAAAGTCTTAGGATAAATAATTTTTGCATAGTCTTCTGAGACTTAACTTTAAAAACAAAATACCTGTTTGGTTTTTCAGAAATCTTCTTCGCACAATTCTTCTATTAAATTTCTGTATGGAATATATTTGATAGAAAATTTTATTAACTATTCAAATCATACATTGAATTTGAATAAAATACTTGATATCATAGGAAAAAAATCAAAAATATGTTGACCTTATATATGTTTTTTGGATCATTATTCGATTGTTTTTAATTTTAAGAAAACTTATATCGAAGAAACAATATCTCAAAAATATTTAAAAAAAAAAATTCGAATGATCTTTTCTAATAATTTCTAATTGAAATATCTTCTGTATTTTTTAAACTAGGAATTTCTTGTACCATTTGTTAATCAAGTAGAATTTATAGCTAAACATCCAATTCTTGCTATGTTTTATGCTGATGGGTAAAATTTTTCAACTAATATATATATATATATATATTTAATTTAATCTTTTCTATAATAGTCTTTGTCTTGGTATTTGTGATAGTGAACGAGCAGCTGAAATTATGAGAAAATCAACTGATATCAATTCACCAATAGTTGGTATTCGTTTAAATTCTATTAAAGTTGATTATAAACCTATGACATCAACAGCATCTATGTCAAAAGCAATTAAATTAGCTCCATGTGCTGTTCGTGTTGATATTTATAATGGTTTCTTATTTTAAATATTTTTTGTTTTTTTTTTTTTCATTAGTAAATTTTTATCTTTTAGATCGTACAAAAAATTTACAATATCGTACATTTGATTCTTTAATATTAGCTATTGATATAAGAAAATTTGTAAGTACTGCTCATACAGAAAATGGTCATCATATACGAGTTTTATCCAATCTTGATGATTCAACAAATGCTAAAAATTATAAATCTTTTACAGATTTTGATAAATATTATAGTAAATATAAGAAAAATTAATTCGAATAATTAATTATAATTATTATTCTATAAATAATACTAGGTGAACGATTAAGTAAAATTTATCAAATTAATGAAGATTATAAACTTATTACTGATATCCTTAATAAGTACGAAAAAAAAAAACATTTAATCGATAATAATAAAGATTTATTTGTTTCATATTTAGTATTGAAGATGAAAATAATGATGATGATAATCATCGATGTTTTAAAAGTCCAAATCCAGATTTATCTGAAATGTTTTCCGAAAATTTACGTAAGATAAAACTAACCAATAAACATATTAAAATTAATCTATATTTCATTTTAGATTCAGTCCCTCCACCATCTGCAACAATGTGCAATAATGAATATGTATGACATACATAAATATATATTTTTTTTGTCCAATAATATCTCTCAATATCTTATAGTGTTCTAATGTAACTACTATTAATGATGACATATCTAAGGTTAACATTCAATCGAATATTAATCAAACATCATTACAAAATATTCTTTCAACATCTTCTCAACAATCATTTCAACATATAAATAATCAAGATATGATTGACTATGTTCTAACTCAACCTGAAATTATTCAAGAACTTCTAAATCGACTTGGTGTTCTTCAACTATCATCCTCTATAATACAACAGGGACAAGGTTATCAAAATCAACATATACAACAAATATTACCAACACAATTGCAAATGCAATCATCATATCAACAACAAATACCACAAATACAATATCAACAACAAATATATAATCAACAAGTTTTTCAACAATCAATATCTATTCCTACAATACATAATCAATTGAATAATGATAATCAATATCAAAATTTTTCAAGAAATAATAATCAAATATCATCTCAAGAATGTCCAATAGAAACAAATTATGAAAATCTTTTTACTGAATCAATTACAGATCCTTTACAATTTTCAACAATAGATCAAGTAAATTTAACTAAATGAATTTTATTTTTAAAAGTTTATTTCAAATTTTTTTTTCTTTATTCTATTCATAGATGAAAATGAAAGATTGTTAGTTATTTTCTATTAAAATTAAGGCCTTCTATCTCACAAGAAGAATATTACCTTGTTTTCAACTTTATAGAAAAAAAAAAATTATTGAGTTAAATCACTTCCAACCTAATAAAACTGTAATGCTTACGAAGAAAGTGTTCCGATTTATTGCTAGTTTTTCACTCAATACTGTGGTCTACCATAGAAATACAAGAAAGGCTGATTGTTGAATCTCAACTTCGTACTGAGATAAAACCCTAATCAAGTCAAGCTTTTTTTTGGCTGACGTACACAGTGCCTTCAAAAATCGATCACACTGTTATAATTTCGATTTTTTTCTGTATAATAATGACTTGAATAGAAAAAGTTGTATCTAATAAAGATTTGAGGAAAACAAAATCTTTGTACTATTCATTAAATTTATGATCTATACCTATAAAACAATGCATTTCTTATGTGAGTTACTATTACAAACAAACAAAAAAAGTCGAAATTTAATCTGTACAATACATTCTTGAAACTACTGTATATGTCTTTTTGTGCTATTTGTTAATCGGAAATTTCTCTTTGAATTTTATTTATGAATCTATTTCTTAATACATCAAGTAGAAACTTACAGCTATATAAGAGTAAAAATACATGACTGTTTTAATGATGTAACTTCGACGGAGTTTGATACAGAACTTTAACTTTTCCGCGGAAAGTTTATTATGAATGTTTTAGTTCTTATCACTATTTCTATCTGCAGATACAACTATAGTAAAAAAAAAACGCGTCTGTTTACGTATATCATATACAACCATGTATGTACCCAAACTATTTGGATCGTTTTTTGTCTAAACGAAGAAAAATACTCTCATCTACTGAAGTACTTAGAACAACATTTTTGTCCATTGGTAGAAAATCGAATTAGAGGAAAATATTACTATAGAGTGTCAAAAGAGAGATTTCGCTAAAATTTTTAAACTATATTCTAAAGTCCAATAAGAAAGATAGACCTAAAGAGTTTAATATTTGAGTTATTTTTTTACTTTTTCATTAGATCAAACAGTTCATGGAAAGTTCAAAAGATATGCAAATTCTGTTATTAAGTTTATATACAAGAGTAGATTCAATGTTCTGATTTCGGAATTAAAAATAGATTAAACGATCTGACACTTTCATACTAAACTATTCTTACTAAAAATCTATGTTTGTAAAAGATCTCAAGTCAAAATTCGAAAATTGATTTTCCTAAGGATAAATCACAATATTGATTTAAGAAAAACAATATCTACATAGTAATAAACTAAAAGCTCGAGATCTTTTTAGCTATAATCACAACTTATTACAGTCTACATAAAGTATATAATCTCGATTTAAAAGCTATAAATCATTTGGGATACATTTCTTCTTAGATTATTGATACTTCTATTGTAATTTATGAAGATAGAGTTTTATTAATGTATTTAATACATGATAATCTTTTTTTGATAGACTTCTACTAATATCTATAATATAATCTGTTATTGATTATTTTATAGAATTGATTTTTAATTATTTTCTTTTTGTTTTTAAATTTAGAATTCATCAATATCAATCGATGATAATTTTGATATATTTTTCGATGATATATGTACTTCGGATAATATTCAATAAATTAAAATATTCAGTTCTATATGTGTCATATTAATAAATTCTTTTCTTTGGTTTGTTTTTTTTTCAATTGATGTTCGCATGCAATGTTTCTGTTGTTTTTTTTTTTTTTTGATTGTAGAAAATAAATTGAATTATTGTTTCATGAATTTTCCTTTTACTTATTTAAATTCTATTCTATATAATCATACTAATATGACTAATAATCTTAAATAAATATCTTTTATTATCATTGAAATAAATAAAACTATCTAGATAAATTACTAATAATATTATGTATTAAATATATTCATTATTTAATATGATCAATTTCTAAATAACTGTTTTAATTATGATTATGTATAATATCTCTTATAGCTTTATATATACATATAATAATGTTAGTAACATTGCCATTTAGCATTTTTTGTTATGTCATAAGAGAAAATAAAAATAATTGTTCTCTAATATATATATATATATGTATACATAAATCTTCTTACATTTACTCTTTAAAAAAAAAGAAAGAACCGTATTTTCAATTGATAGGTAAATTAAATGTATTAGAACATTAACAAATGTCAATTTTTTATTTGTATCTAAGACAATACTAATATTAATCCAGCTTGTCTTTTGTGTTTATAAATACGATGTCCTTCTTCGTTTTCTTTTTTTTTGCAATATCGTATGTACCCAAAAGAAGAAACAGAATAGTCATAATAATAATAACAGAAATTCGCCAACAAGGAAAAACAAGCAATCTATCAAACGACTCAGCTGGAGATAAATCTTCTTCCTTTTTTTTTCTACTCAATAACGTATCTATACTTAATGACGAAAAAAAAAAAAATTCTTCATGTCTGGTTACCTTATATGTCTGTTGACCGAAAAGTATTTTTACCATTAATTAGATAGCTATTATAGAATAGACAAAAAAGGAAAAACAGAAAAAAAAAAGATGACCATCACATGCTCATCAAAAAGAAAAAAACACAAGCAAAAAGAACAGACTATGTATAGTCAACTATGTCGATAGAAAAAAAAAAGCAATGAGACTAATTTTGTTAGAACCGACACGAGAAGCAAAAAAAAAGAATGAGAAAGAAACGATAACACATTTTTTTTTTGCCTTGTCGTCATCGTTCGCACACTGGTTCAATCAACATGAAAAAAAAACACACACACAGACAAAAAGTCATCGAATGTGTTCGCGCCTGCACTCACTGTGCTAGTATATCTATATATATATATATTGATTATAAACATGTAAGCAGATGGCTATTTTTCATTTCTTTCTTTTTTTACATATTTCATTTTTAGATAACAAATATAATTTGTTGAACAATTAATATTACTTTATTCATGAATGATTATATACGAAATTAAAAAGGCATTAGTTCCTTTTTTTTTGTTATTATACATATATATGGGAAAGGTCGCATATTGCCAACATTGATGAGGTATGGTCGTCGATCAGTATGCTCGATGTTAACCAGCTGGTAGACTTAGATAAAAAAAAAAAGAAGAAGAAGAAATGAAGAGATAGATGATCTGATGGTTATTGTCTCCCGCCAAGAGGATTCTTTTTCTTTTTTTTTTCTTTCTAATGTCGGTCAAGATAGAAACGGCATATACATACATATATGAACAGTAATGATGTTCTATAAACATCGATTCTTATTTTGGAAACGATATACATTTATACTTCTATTCCTGTTCAGTTCTTATTATTTTGTTCATCATTTTCTTTTTTTTTTCTTGGTATCTTCTTTTCGTCCTTATCGAGAAACAGAGAGAGAGAGAGAGAGAGAGAGATGGATAGAAAGAAAGCATCATAGTTCTATTGGTGTTGTCCTTTCTCTCTTTAGCCGAAAATACTTCCTGCTTTTGTATATACATATATATATATATCAATCAGAAAGATATGCGAATGTTCGCGTGCCGTTTTTCTTTCTTTTTTTTCCTTCTTCTTCTTTTGCTTCTGATATTGGCCAAATTTGGAGTCGACATTACTCTACTTATCCTGATTCTTCTATGTCTACGTACAAGAATAGAGTGTGCATATACATAAAAAAAGAAATCATCAATAGTATATATACACAAGCATTGTATGATTCTTTATTCAGTCGTTTATATCTCATCATTGTGGATACAGATATGTTCAATAGAGTAAGTAAGAAATAATTTATTCTTTTTTTTTCCAAGAAAGTTTCCCATATCGTACTTCTAAGACAGGCCATATTGAATAGATATCTTATGGAATGTAATAGAAGTATGCCGAGGGCTTTCACAATCAACATTATTCTATATATATATATATTTATGTATATTATTCAAAATTTCTTTGTTTTTATTTTTAATAAAAAAAATAAAATAAATTTCTAGAAATGAAATGCAATATTTATCTTCGAAAAGACAATCAACTTCTTTTCAATCGGTCAATCAATATGTTTATGCCAATTAGAAGCAACGATAGGAAGGCTGTTGTCCAGATGTGTGATATCTGTTCTCCTGCTGATTGACCATTCACATTTCCTTTTTTTTGTTTTGTGGTAAAAGATAAGCTATAATGACTTGATGTAAAAGCAATGAATGATGAATAGCATTGTATATCAATTGGATTCTGTTTATTATAATGATCTTTAACAAAATACTTGGATATGATTGATATTTGATTGCAATGATCCATAGAAAAGAAAATGTTCAGATGTCATTTCAATTATAAGAAAAAGAAAATATCATTGAATGCTTCTTCTTTTTTTTCATATGGAAAATAGATTATCTATAAGAAGAATTTCTCCTAATAAACAAAAATTTCAATTAAAGCAAAAAAAATAATAGTAGAATTCTTCAAAATTAATACTTCATAGTCTATATTAATAATAGGTAACAGATACGTACAAGAATTATTGAAATTAACTCTAGGAAATATAATTATATTTTTCTACTATAATAAATGATACACTTGATTTCTATGTATAGTAAAAAATGATTTGTTGTTATTATGAAATATTTGCTTGATAATAAGACAATGATTTTTATATTTATGATTAATTTCGGATGTTATCTATTTGTAAAGATAAATTCAAATTATTGATATTTAGTTTTATTTTTTGTATATTCAATGCTGTAATCAACAATCGCAATATGTATCTTTTCTTTCAATAGTTAGTCAATAACGACTTTTATTCATATGAGAAAAGATTTTGTTCTGTATATGTTGTGTTTGTGATTTGTTTTCTTTATAAAAGAGAATAAAATAGCCTATTTTCAATATGATTATAGTGTTGATGGAATGAAGTTTTATATACAAAATATGATATGAAAAATGATTGTTTGATAGCAATCAATTTTCGATCGAAATTCAACAAAGGACAGTTCCAAGGTGAATTTTGTAATATGTTATGCAACTTTTTATTTTCTACAAAATGATATCTTTGAAGAGATACTAGCTTCATATCTCGTTCTGATGTTGTTTTAATAAAGAAATAAACTAATTTTCATGATTTTCATTGTTATAATACAGCAAGATAAATATGATATTCGAAATCAATATGAAAAACTATATTTCATAAAACTAGAATATGATTGAAGAGCCCCTTAGGTTACTATTCCACTGGAAATAAAGATTATTATAAAAGGTGTTTAATTCAATGTAGTTGTTTACGATGATTTCGAATGTCATGTCAACGAAAATAGCTAATAATAGGTTTTTTTTAAATGAATAAAATCTATTATGTAACAGATAGATATGAACCCAGTTTCGCTTCGAAGATATCCTTTTGTAGAGAATAAAAAGTTGCATAATATATATATATATAATTCACCTTGGTACTGTTCGATGCAAAATTTCGATAGGAGATTGATTGTTATCAAAATCATTTTTCATTCGCATTAGTTTTATTAAACTTAACTCGGTCACTACTGTATTATATTAAAATAAGTCATATTATTCAATATGCAATTCTAATTATTTCAGATATCGATGAATTGAATGTATACAACAAAACAAAATCAAGTGCGTCGTATACTCGATGATCTCATGTTTGTTCTCTTATATTTCTAAATGACTTGTTTTGTATCCATATCGTTTTTGTTCCTTCTAGACAAAATTGAAAATTAAGATAAACACATAGGAAGTTCTGTTCTTTCAGAAAAACTGATTTTTTTTTGATTTCATACTTCATTTTTTCGGTAGAGGTTTTGATATTTCTTGCAAATAAAATAACGTAAATAAGTATTTTAAGGAAAATATAGAAATATTTTTGATAAATTTCATCATGACTCATAATAATAACTAAAGCTCATCAAATGATAATGAGAAGAGCAAGACAAAGAATAACACTGGAAACAACATGATCTAGTGCGACTGGCACATATCATAACAATGCGCCATTTCTTAAGTTATTTTTCTTCTTTCTCTCTGATAACTATCTATAGACCATAATTACTGTTTCTAGTTTTCATTATCGTGTAAAATACTTGTAATGAATACAATGTTTTATAGAAAATTGGCTTGAGACAGTCTACAATGGATTCTAGTAAAATATTTTCAAGTAAGTTCATTATATTCAAACTAAATATTGTATGAAATACAACAAGTGACATAAGAAGTTTATTTATAAATAATTCAAAAATAAATATAGACTATTATTTTCAAACTTATCAAAAAGTACTTTCAAGTGTTTATTTAAAAAAAAGTATTTCAAGCTTTTCATCTGTTGATGCCTTTTTTTTTGGTCGCGCGATACAAAATTCCCTGTGGATTTTAATTCTATGTATATATATATATATACTTCTCTTTGTTTAGAAGAGCATGCTAGACTTTTATTTTAAGAGAAACTTTTTAGATCTTCAACATGTCACTCATATAAAAAGTAAGAATTCAAAACAAAAGTGTCTGTCATGTCTTACATCTTGACATGTTCTTTCACATAAAAGAAAAATTTATATAGAATCAAGGTCAACAGAAAATTCAAGTTGCTTAATGAGCTATTTGTTTGACTCTTCTTTGATGAATATCT